TTCTATTTTGCATACCAAAAATGCCAAAATTCCAATCAAATTTCATGATTTGAAAAATCGTTTGTTATTTTTCATAGAAATTGAGCCCTACACGGCGGCCCAAGCCAAAATTCCTGTCGATACTTATAATGGAGAAATTTTGATTCCAATTGGAGGTTGTGTAATCAAGGAAACGCTTACTCATGCTGTAAACGGTTATGCCCTAGTTGACCTAGAAAATCCTAGTAACACTTATCAAGAAATTTCCTTGTATGAGCCTATTGTTTCATTTCCGTTCGACGCAAGCAATTACGCTTTATTCCACGCTATCATTAAACCATCTGAATCACTTTCGCCGTTGCGACATTATATCAGTAAACTGATACGAACATCTCATCTCAATAATGAAGAAAAAACTCATATTTTAAAATTGTGTCAAACCTACTCTGACGTATTCTATTACGAGGGTGATGCGTTAACTTTCACAAACCAAATTAAGCATCATATTAGGACCACAGATGAAATTCCTGTGCATACAAAATCGTATCGTTATCCACACATGCTCAAAAACGAAATGCAAAGCCAAATTAGATCCGTTCTAGATCAGAATATTATGCGACATAGTAGTTCAGCTTGGAATTCTCCAGTTTTTCTCATTCCCAAAAAACCTGATGCTAGTGGTAAAAAGAAATGGCGTATGGTGGTTGACTATCGAAAGGTTAACGAAAAGACCATAGATGATCGCTACCCCATTCCATGTATTTCTGACATTTTAGACAAATTAGGTCGTTGCAATTATTTCACAACCTTGGATTTAGCTAGCGGTTTCCATCAGATTGAAATAGCCCCGGAAGATATTCAAAAAACAGCATTTAGTGTTGATGGAGATCATTACGAATACCTTCGTATGAGTTTTGGTCTGAAAGGAGCACCAAGCACATTTCAGCGTGTCATCGACAATGTCTTGCGAGGACTGGATAACACTATGGTGTATATGGATGACATCATAATTTATACTATTTCTTTACAAGAACACATTGTATCATTGAAAAAGGTTTTACAAAGATTAAGGGAGACAAACCTCAAAGTTCAATTAGACAAATCCGAATTTTTGAAAAAGGAAGCAGCTTTTCTTGGTTACATTGTCACATCGCAAGGAGTAAAACCAAACCCCGACAAAATTCAAGCCATTCTCAAATATCCATTGCCCAGAACCACCCGCGAAATTAAACAGTTTTTAGGTTTGATTGGTTATTATCGTTCATTAAGGACTTTGCAAAAATCACTCGCCCTTTCACCCTATGTTTGAAAAAAGGAGCAGAAATTGAACATGACGAAAAATTTCTCAAAGCTTTTGAACATTGTAAGAATCTTTTAACGAATGAACCATTATTACAATATCCGGAGTTGAAAAACCCTTCGTATTGACTACCGACGCAAGTAATTTTGCTGTATCAGCTATACTTTCTCAAGGCCCTATTGGCTCTGACAAACCAATAGCTTATGCATCTAGAACATTAAATGATTCTGAACAAAATTACAGTGCGATTGAAAAAGAATGTTTAGCAATAGTTTATGGAACTAAGTATTTTAGACATTATCTTTTTGGACGAAAATTTAAAATTGTAACAGATTGCAAACCGCTTCAGTGGTTAATAACTTTAAAAGAACCAGATTCTAGATTACAAAGATGGCGCTTAAAATTATCCGAATTTGAGTATGAAGTTATATACAAAAAAGGTAAAGAAAATAAAAATGCTGATGCGCTTTCTCGTATTCAAATTCACGCTACCGAAGCTGACCCGCAACCTTCTACATCACAAATCCAAGATGAAGAAGAGTCCCCATTTATCCGATACATGAAAACCTTCAATAAAGACTTTTCCGAAAAAGCTGCAGATGACCAAACGTCTATAGAAAATAATATAGGTGATGAACAAACAGTACGCAATTTGCTAGACTTGAGTGAACGAGTTGAAAACGTAACTATTCACTCAGACGATGAAAGGCTCATTCAAGAAATTAACCCTGTAGAAAAACCTATCAATGTTTTCAAGTACCAAATTTTTGTTAAAAAAGCTATTATGCCCAGAAAACTCACACTTCAAACCTTATGGGATCCGAAGAAATTCTTGTACACATTGTATATTGTTAATGGTGATTTAACTCCTATTATACACTTTCTGAAAGACTACGGTGTACCAAAAAGTACTTATGCATTTTATTTTGAAGATAATCATAACGACGAAATGTATAAAAATCTCGCGAACCTTGTATCTAATACATTCAAAAATTCTGCGTTCAAATTGGTTAAGTGCAGTAAAAAGCTTGAAAAAATTACTGACGTTTTGAGACAAGAGGAAATCATGAAACCAAAAATAATCCCCGAGGTATCATTGAGACTGTAAACCAAATTAAGAAATTTTCAACAATAATTGACAATTTTTCAAAATATGCGCAAGCCTTCCCAATCGAAGCAGCTGATGCTATCTCTGTTGTAGACAGTTTAATTAAATTCATGTCATTTCATGGTTTGCCCATCCAAATTGATGCAGATTCTGGTACTGAGTTCAACAACGCCTTAATAAAAGAGTTTGCAAAACTCCATAAGATAAAGCTACATTTTACAACTTCCAAAAATTCAAATAGTAATTCAACTATTGAACGAATCCACTCCACTATAACAGAACATTTAAGAGCTCTTGCATTGCAATTTCCAAAAAAGAATGTTAATTCTTTGATGCCTTATGCAATCCTTGGCTACAATCAGTCCATACATTCAGTGACGAAACGAAAACCAATTGAAATTATTAACGGACACTTAGACGTTAGAGATCCTTTTGATCTAGACGTTGATCGAGAATTAATGAACAATTACCTTCAAGAACACAAGAATAGGACAAAATTAATTTATAGCCTTACCTCTGACATGTCGAAAATCCAAAAGGAAAAGGTTATTCGAAAAGCTAATAAAGATCGCGAAAAACCGACCGACTATTCTAGAGAAAAGGTAGCGTACCGACGTGACGCGAAGTCCCGAGGTAAAAAGCTGAAACCACCCTATATAAAAGAACAGATTTTGACTGACAAGCTGAAACCACCCTATATAAAAGAACAGATTTTGACTGACAAAGGTTTAAAACTAAAAACTAATAGAAATATTTATCATAACAGTATTTTCAAAAAGCCCAGAAAGAAAGTAACTCAAAATTTGTTACTTCTTCTGATAGTGCATCTGACACATCAGTCTACGGTGAAGGTCACTAACCTTAAAACAAATCCTGGTATACTACCCTTCAGATTAGGTGATGCTAAAGTAAAAATAGGAACACATATATTTTTACACTATGTAGATTTTGAGCTGATAATTAAGGAAGTAAATTCGCTAAGTACAGTATTTCAAGAAATCAAGGACCAAACAGAAAAGAATAAATATAATTTAGGATTCATTCCAGATACACATTTGGCAGATATAGAACAGCATATAGTTTACTCGATGTCAAATTTGAAAAACAAAATAAAGTCCATATATCCATTCTGGGAAGAGCAATATCGCCCAAAACGAGGTTTAGTAAATGGTTTAGAGGTTTAGGATCAATTATCAAAATGATTTCAGGGAACTTAGATGATGATGCTAAAAAATATGACCAGGCTATTGAACAGTTACAGAAAAATCAGAATCAAGTAATTAAGACAGTTAATCAGCAAATTTCCTTGACCCACGAGGTTCTCAAAAATAACAATGAGACATTTAGCCTTATGGTTCACAATCAAGCTGTAATAGAACAAACCGTGGTAAAGCTGCAAAGGAACAATACATACTATTTTACTATTTTGGATACACTATTACAAGTAAAGTTCAATTTAGATACACTGCTCTCTATAACTAGTAATTTGGAAAATGCCATCGCATTTGCAAAAATTGGGTCAAATATTAGTCAAAAATCATAATAAAGCTCAGTTGGTGTATTCAGACTTCAAAGATATTTATAAGCTTTACGACATAATTTCAGTAGAAGCATATTTTTCCCAAAATCGATTAGTTTTTGCCTTACATGTTCCGCTTTTGCACGTAGACAAATTTAAGCATTATCATCTTTATTCCATTCCTACTGTTAACCTAACTACCATTATTCCCAAATATTCCTATTTCACAATGAGTACCAAAATATACCAATATGATGCTGAACCATGTCAAATGATAGAAGATATTTTTATTTGCCACGAAAACAAATTGGTCCAAGTAGCAGAAGAAGAAGACGATTGTCTATTTGCTATTTTACAAGTAAACAAAAAGCAGCCAAATTAGTCCAAATACATTGCTATCTTCCCGACACAGTGAAGCACCCCTACAAATGGAGTCTACCCCTGTATGCAATTATGTTAATTGGAATTTCATGCATTTTCGTGAAAAAGTATTACCAGAGAAGAAGAGGATCAAGAAGAAGCCAACATTTAGAAGAAATCGGAATGCAACCCCAGAGGCACGAAGTTTTGTTTGTGCCCTCCAAAACTTCATCTTAAGGGTGGAGGAGTTATGTTGCCGTCATTAAGCACTTTATTAATTGATATAATAATTGCATTGTATTCCTTTTTACTAGCTCATCACTTTTGGTTTATATTAACGATTGTACCTTAATTATGAGTCAGTCATTCAATCTCAGTCACAGCGAACACACACACTGTAATTCCGGTTCGGTCCATGTAAACTATTGTTGGAATCAAATAAAGTTTTTTTAAAAACGAAGTTTGAAGTTCCGACTACATAATTCATGTACTGAAGTTAATGAAGAAGAGAGACCTCTGTGTATTATTTGGTCAAAAACTTTAGCAGCAGACAGCGTGAAATCTAATAAACTTAAACAACATTTGGAAACGCTTCATAGTGAGTACGTTAACAAACCCCGAGAATTCTTCGTATTAAAATTAAAATCATACGAAAAGCAAAAATCATTTTTAAAAAGCTTTGTGAACGAAAAGGCTTTACTTGCCTCTTATAAAGTTTCATATGAAATAGCCAGATGAAAGAAGCCTCACACTATATTGGCGAAGAGCTTATTTTGCCAGCTGCAATTAAAATTGTAAAAACTATGTTTGGAGATAATTTTGCCAAATAATTGGAGTCCATACTTAATGATACGGTTGCCCGTCAAATTGGTGATAAAGCTGAAGATATACAGCATCAGCAACTCGGGAAGTTGCGAAACAAGTTGTTTTCCATTCTTGATGAGGCAACGGATAGCAATAAAGATGCTCATCTTATTGCCTACGTTCAATTTTGTGCTTGCATGTCCGTAGTAGAAGAAGTACTTTTCTGCAAATCTATAGAACTCAACGCAACAGCTCTCGCATTATTTGCTATCTTAAATAATTATATAATCGAGGCAAACATAGAGTGAAAGAACTGCATCGGGATATGCACCGATGGGCCTCGTCCAATGTCTGGAAGATTTAAGTACATAAGCCCTTGTAAAACAAAAATCTGCACTGTGGATTTGGACACATTGCATAATTCACATAGACGCTCTGGCTTCCAATGAAATATCTCCTGGCCTAAATATTGTGCTACTACAGTTGTAACAGTAGTAAATTACATAAAAATGAGACCTTCGAAAACTAGAATATTTTCTGCACTTTGTAAATATGTGGGTGTAGAACATTCAGCACTACTATTCTATTAGGTTGAAGAACACATGAAAGTTGTTTTCATAACCATTGAAAATCGTTTAGCGGTTCTGACAAAGAAAAAAATGTTGTCTTGCCGACGACAAATTAATGCTTAGTTACGAGTGGGTTAGGAATCCCTTTCGAATTACTCCCGAAAGGATCTCAAATGCCGAAGTAGAAATCTTCATAGACTTGACGGCAAATGTCAAAACCAAAATACAATTTAATAATAAATCCCTCTTTGAAATTTGGGCAGGCGTGAACGGTAAGTTTGAAAAACCAGAGCGTTTCGTACACTACTACAATCTTCAACATCCTACCTATGCGAAACAGGATTTTCGGCGGTGACTGCTTTGAAGACGAAGTATAGATCGCAGCCAAATATAGAAAAAGAACTTACCGTGGCTGTTTCAAATATTAAACCTTGTTTCGACAAGGTTTGCTCGGCAAAGCAGGACTAAGAGAGTCACTAGTAATTATTATTATGTTCTGTCCGCGTCGAAGTAAATATCTAGAATACATATCGTAGTACCCTCGTAGTAGGACCCAACCGCTATGATTTCAAAGCGCGCACTACCTTTATCCCCTCTGGCTGCCTATAAACCTTCATTCCTTGTTCTCGTGCCCGACCGTCAAGACGTTAATCGGCGTGCCTCGTTTACGTGCAGAGCAGTGTCAAGGATCCGCTGAACATTTAGAATTAGAAAACAGAACAGATTGGCCGATAGATGTGCATTGTCGAAGGAGATACCGACTGACGGTCGCCTGGAGGTTGCTTTCGTCGCCGACCAAAATTAGAAAGAGGCGTGCAGGCCTCTTTTTCTGAACGGGCGTCACCATCAGGTAACTGTCAACTAACCGATCTGTTTTAGGTGCAATTTAAATGAATATTAGTATGGATGCCTCACCGGCGCTAAAAACTGTGTTTAGCATGCGATAGCCTACTTCATACCTAGGACGAACAAAGACGTTTGGGATAACGCTGAAACATTGGACTCGGTTGCTTGGGATGTCAACGTGGACCTGGATTGGGATAGTCAGCCCCACACCAAGGATGAACAAAGACATTTATGATAACGTTGTAACATTGGACTCGGTTGCTTTTGATAGCAACATGGACCTAGCTTGTGATAGTCCACACCAAGGACTAATGAAGATGTTTGGAAAAATGACTCAATACTGAACTTCGTTGCACAAATAACAACACTGGTAGCGTTTGGGAGAACGTAGCAACAAGGTATGGTCAACAATCTTTTCTCATTTGCTTGTGATAGCAAATTTCATCTGGTTTGTGATAACCATGGAACAGGACTGTAAGTTTGAACTTGGCAGGCTAGGAAGTTGTTAAGATATATTTATAATAGGAATGTAGCAATATAGCATTTTTAATTTATAACAGATAAAAATTGGGTACATCTATGTGAGACTAGAGTGGTGCGTTTTGCTTGGGATAGCAAATTCTATCTGGTTTGTGATAACTATGGAGCAATATTGTAAGAATGCATACAAGAAGTTAGGAAGAAGCCGAAGTACCATTTTTTATGAATGATCGACAGAGATTAGCTACATCTATGCGAGACTAGCGTTACATTTTGCTTTTGATAGCAAAATCCACGTGGTTTGTGATAACTGAGGAACAGGTGTGTAATTATGAACATGTCAGGTTAGAAAACCGCTAATGTATATCTTTTCCTTATCACCAGATAAAGAACAGGCACCTTATGCGAGGTCAGCGGTACATTTTGCCTGTGATAGCCAATTTCATTTGGTTTGTGATAACCTTGGAATATCTTTGTCAGAATGCACATGACAGTTTAGGAAACCACTAAAGCACCATTTTTCATTAATAACAGGTAGGGATTAGGTTTTATCTATGCGAGAATAGCGTTTTATTTTGTTTGTGATAGCAAATTCCTTATGGTTAGGAATAGCTAACGAACAGGCCAATATGCACATGACAGGTTACGAAACAGCTGAAGTACTATTTTTCATTAAGAACATATAGAAATTAGGAACATCTATGATAGACTAGCGTTACATTTTGCTTGTGATAGCAAATTCCACATGGCCGGTGATAACTATGGAACAGGACTGTACGTATAAACATCTCTGGTTAGGAGACTATCAAAGTTCTAATGTTCAGTAATAACGGAAGTTAAATATCATTATGCCCGATTAACGTTACAGCGAACGAATAGCAGGGGCTCTGGATTGTGTTGTCTCAAAGGCCATGTAGTCTGTTTTAATAGAAGACGCATCACCACGATGATGCGACGACCTTAGTATAATTAATGTTTGCGCGTTGTTCCAAGGCTGACATTTCGAGGGCAGATCTTGTTGATGACGATAGATGAATACTCTATCCTCGAGATTCAAAGAAGGGAGAGGAGTGCGTGCTGGCAGATATTTACATCAAAGCAAAGAATTCAGGAGGCTTCCAGTGATATCTTGCTCTTCAGTGTAGGTCTCTCCAAGTAATTGGAGTTAAATAATACTGAAATTAGGATTTCTCAGTTTTTAAAAGTCTCGGGGTCACTCATGTGGCAACCAGTTAAGTTTTACCGTATTTTACGCCCAAATATCTGTGCAAAGCATTTATTTGTCACTACAGTATTTTATCACGGTGCCTCGGCTCCCAGATGGATGAAGTCGGTTTTAGCAGAGAGTGTCACAATTGACAATGTGTCTACCTCTCCGCCGGCTAAATTATAGTAGTCTCAGGCTCGCGGCGGGTTGGAGTGCGTTTTCTGAGATACGTCACAAATCTCTTATGCAAACAATACCTTTGCTCAAGCGGCATTTGAGCCGAACGAAGTCCCAACAGCTTAAACATAACTATGCTATTACGCTATTTGCTCATTACCATGAAATGGATGGTAATTTTTGGACCAGGTACGTCATATTAGCTGTTGCTGTAAGCCTTAAGTTGAATTGTTACAATGGACATGTACATTTAGTTGACACATACGTTGCGTACAATTTGTGTAGTTGTATACAACCTATGGCTTACTATTGCAGAGGGTTAGTAGTATGTTGTTGCAACTAGCTTTAAACATCTACGGTATGGATTCTAAATACTTACTTCGACGAGGACGAAACATAATTGCATGATCAAACGAACCTGCCTGTAAGTGATGTTTAATCTTAATTATGTGAAGTCCTTGACGAAGTAAATAGCTCCCTCTCGCCCTATATATCATCCAATTGTTGCAACAACTTGACTTTGAAATAAATTGAGGTTTATAGGCAGCCAGAGGGGGGAAACGTAGGGCGAAAGGGCGCGGTGCCGCTTTCCTTCTCTGCGTGCGCGTTTTGGAATCGTGGCGGTTGGGTACTACTACGAGGGTACTATGATATGTATTCTAAATATTCACTTCGACAAGGACTTCACATAATTAAGATCGAACATCACTTACAGGTAAGTTCGTTTGAACATGTAATTATTTTTTATATCTAATACTATTAAACTTATCTTTAATTTAGTATTGATAAATACAGTCCTGTTTATAAGTGGACCTACTATATCAGTGTTAATGTGTATTACTTTTGATTGTCAGAGTTTTGTTTTTCTTTCCTTTTAGATAATTATTCAATCTTGTTAGTGTTTTTTTATATGCTCGCCGCCCACCCCCTTCAATATTGACACGTCCCCTAGGGGGTCGCGCCCCACAAGTTGAGAAACGCTGCCGTAGAAAATTTTATCCCCCAAACATTTCTCATGGGAAAAAATCCCAAATTTGGGAAATCCCCCAATATGGCAATCCTGTATGGCCTAACGAGTAGCACTAGGATGACTCGCGAATTTTTACTTATTGATAGAAGTTCGAAAAGCTCGTAAAACAGTTTCAACAGGTGTTGACTAATCATTGTGTATGTGTCACAAAAAGGAACATGAATTACAAATTACAACAGGTCCAATCGAGCATTACAAAATCACGGTAACAGTGCTGTGTTCACGTCACATGCAGCCACAGAACGGTTAACAGGTCACCCCGGCATTAGATGATCAGAACAACGTTGCCGGACCGCGCAGCAGCTTGCACGCTGTTGCCACGATTAGGTTGACGGCAGAGTTTCTACGGAATTCCGTAACTCGAAATACCAAACATACTGCCCGGGCTGAAAGCTCCTGCTTTCACGAACAACACTGCTACTCGTTTTGGAGATGTTACACTGAGTGTTCTCGAGTAACACACAGATCTTGGTGGCTGGTCGTTTGTACAAGCTACTAGCAGTTTCCACTGTTACTTTCCAAACCATACCATCTTTGCCGGTTACATTGCCCAGGATCCACTTAAGTGGGGGGAAACTCTCTTTTTTCAGGGGAACCATGGTTCCTAGACGAAGTATATTTGGATACATTCGTTTATACTTGAATTTCGTTTGCAGTTCATATATACAGGCAAAACTGAATTTGTCTGATTGCTTGAGTTGAATGTGTACGAGAGAGAAGCGCGAGAGGAGTGTATCAACGCATGTTAGAAAGAGATAGAAGCCGACTGAAGAGCGAAGGTCATCACCACATTATCTAGTGGCGGTGGCGCAGAAGGTCGTGCAATCTGCCACGTTGCCAATATGTTACACCATAAAATGGTAGCACAGGCCTCTACAATTGGTTTGGTTACTGTCAAACTTAAGAAGGCGGTCTCTTCTGTTGTTCATTTTGATTAGAATTATTTATTTGAACTTTGCTGCGACTCGGTGTTTTGATTTGTTCTAGAATTATGTTTGATTTCCACCGGCGGTGATAAAATCAGGACATTCTGAGGTATTGTTACATTTTGAGACAGCGAGCTGCGGTGTTGTCAAGCGAACCAATGGTGCAATGTTGTAGAATTTGTGGCAATTCTGACCTTTCATTTCGAACTAAAATGGAGCGCCGTTAGGACCGATTCGAAATCGATCCTAAACAGATTCGGTACAACTCACAATGAAAAAATGTGTAGGCTCAAAATAAAACCATTATTTGGGCGTAGAGAATAAACTAACCGATATTTTCAACATTCATTTTAATTCAAGAGATTGGTGTAACATAGGCAACGCGGTGATGAGCTTCGCTATACAGCCAGCTTCTATCTCTTTCTAAAATATGTCTCCATACAGACTTCTCTCTCGTATACATTGAACTCAAGCCGTCAGCCAAATTTTATTCTCAGTGTACATTCCTTCGACCATCGTTGTCACATTGAGTCAGTAAACTTCTGAGCCAACTTGTATCTTGACAGAAAATCTGCCTCTGCTTGTGAAAAGTCAGGTTGGGGTATCGCGGAAGAAGGTTCTCCTATCTGGAAATGTGCAGGAGTGAGTGGCAAAGGATAGTTAGGATCAGCGGATGGAATGTACAAGGGACACGAGTTAATGTAGGGTTCAAATTGTGCTAGTACAGGTACAAATTGTTCTTAAGTTAAAACCGTTTCTCCAGTAACCTGCTTTAGATAATATTATTTTATAGTTTTAACACCGGATTCTCAGATGCCACCGAAATGGGGTGGTTTAGGACGCATAAAGTACTAAGTGACGCCCTATGGGCTTAGAGATTCGCAAAAGTGAGTTGAATTATTTTTAAGGATTTTTTTCAATTCTTTATAAGCTGCTGCTAAATGTACATATTCAAGGATTTGCCTTTTCTAGCAAAAACTCGGCTTGAACAGTCCAAACCCGCTCGAATGTATTGCCTTTGTGGCCAGACAAACGAATAAACAAATATAAGCTTTGGTTATGTTGTACTTACGAGCCTTCAAATCCCAAATGCAGAACCTGAATACAAAAATGGGCGGGTAAAAGTCACCGTATAACTGAGAAGACTAGTCATGAGGTATTGTGGCTGCATGGATATATTTCGAAGACGTATGACGCAATTATGTACGTATACAATTCTGCGGACAAAATTTCTTCCTCTTATTATGCAGAACCTGTCGCGGAGACCAGCAAGCAGTAGCTGTGGACCTGTCAGTAATCTATAATGTTCATAAACTACTAAGAGCCTGAGTAGTGGGTGCTTAGAAGATAAAATTATTGGGTGTTTTTGTCGAAAAGATATGTTGGAAAATATAAGTCTACTCCCTAAGCCTAATATGACTTTGTAGTATAGAAGGGCGTATGATTTTAGTAACCTACCCTTGGTTGTGGGTCTTGTATTGGTTTTCGATTACATCAGAGGAAAGCTTTGCCTTTGTGACAATTCGAATGAAGTTTTGATTGCTTTATCTAATTCGTCAATTGACAATGGACCAATGAATTTTTTAGTTTTCGCTTGGCAGTTATAAACAAATTACAGCATGTATGCTACTACACTTTGTAGTTTGGTGAAACTATAAAATCTTGCAATGATTTTCATTTCTTCTAACGATAAATGACAGAGAGCTATGACTGGGGATTTTGGAGCCTCTACATTCAACAAGTCTGAGCTCAGGTTACAATATTGCTAGATAGCCAAGTATTAAGGCTCCTGTTGAGCCAGCTTGGACCTTGGGACCATAATTTGGTTACTGATTATTTCTTCGGGAAATGTACCAGGTGATAGATTGTCAGCGTGGTTTTCATGTATGTTAATATGACGCCAGTATTCAACTCTAGTGAGACTTTGTGCCTCAGAGACACGATTCGCGATAAATACCTTCCGCAGGTGTAGAGATGCACGCAACCAATCAAGTGCTACTGTGGAAGCGGTGCAAAGAACCACTTTATCAAAATTGAGTTTGTGTGCGGTGACAACGTTATTGACAAAGCTACTATAAAAGCGGAACTGCTCAGAGCTCAAGACGATGGATTGTGACAACTGTTCGCAAATATATACAAGATCCGTAAGCCTTTTGAGAAGCGTCAGCAAATACATGAAATTCTATTCCAACTGGATTTGCGCAAAGGACATTTCGAGTTATATTCAACTCTTTTAACATGCTAAGGGCCGATTTTACCAACATTAATATTATGGACCAATGGGAAAATACCTTATCGAAATGCAATTTGACAGAAGCTGTCAAAGGTCTCTGAATATTAGTGATTTCTATTGAAATATTAAATAAAATCGTGAAAATTCGACCGTATTATAAACAAGACCACTTTTTGATTCCAAGATGATGCTTTTGTACAGAAAAAACAGGACAAATTTCATGTATTTTGATATATGTTATAGGTTTACATTTAACAATCCGTTATCCCCCTCAGCGAATGGGAATGCGATCGATTTCTTTGCTGTTAATTTTGGCAGCAGATTTGGACGTTTGCTAATGCATGGCACTCTCGAATTTACCAACTTCCATATACTGAAAGTTATCATTACATACCTATTGAATAGTGTGGATTTGTCTGTATTTTGCAAAAAAATAGAATATAAAATACCTTCCATCCAATTCCTCATCTTCCTTTACGTCATAATAGTAATCATTTATTAATTTATGGGTTAATGAATTTCTTCAAAGCAATAAAAACATTATGTCCTCTCCATCCTAAAACACAGATAATATGTGTAAGACGTGTCAATCCCTACATCTTCCTGATGCATAATGCAATTACTATGGACATAGACAAAAAATTATGAAAAATGTTTCACAGATAATGTCGTTTAAGTCCAAAAATCAAAAAAACTAGTAATGTTTATTCTTTGTCTATTTTTCTTTTTTGACTGGCGGGGATATCTATCTGTCACTCGCAGGGTTGCCAAGTCTAACGACGATCACGTCCTGTGGTGGAGGGTGCGAAATGAATCTTTTACATTTGCTGGTTTTGAAGTTTTTTCGTGAAAATTTAGTAGGTATCATGATTATAAGCATCTTTGGTAGATTGTTTGATCCGAAATGGGAAAGATCACCTATTTATGAAAATATTTTTGGTATCATCTAACTGTTGCAATCAGTGCACAAACACTGTGACATATGATTTATAGCATAACCCGCTGCCCTATCAAGACAAATTTAACATAGAGGTCGCCTAGCCGTGGGGATGCAGTGGTCGGGATGAATATCACGGCAGTAACTGGTAATTTGGGCATGTCTCTTAACAACGTATGAAGTGAAACTCGCTAACTTCACAAATTTGGAGATTTTGTACAATTTCTTTGAAAATTATGTCTGATTTGGCAGGGTAATGTCGCAGCCAAATGGCAGTCACTCTTTCTGACACAGTTCGGATCGAAAGATGACGATACTCGTGGAATGTATTGATACTTCTAAATATAGGATCTTATCGAACATCCCTACTGTCAAGATGTATAACCCAAGGTACCGACGGACCTATATTGCGGCATCATGGAAATAATTTTAAATTTTCATTTGCATTTTTTCAAGTGTTGTGCAATGATTTTGTGAAAAATGTCACGAATAGTCTTATAAAGCATAGTAGAGTATATTTCAACAGTTGGCGGAACTTACTCCACTGGGACCAGGAGGGTGAAACGGGATATTAATGCACAATCTGGCAACCCTGTCGCACCCTCACAAAATGGCCGCTGATAACCACACAAGTCACCGTGTTGTCATTGAATAACATGAAATCAAACCTTCAGAGTATATGTTTTGTAACTGGTACCAAGAGTTGACAGATCCCACACATGTCTCACTCCTTGAAATGCAATAATCAGCTGTATTCAAATAATTTCTAATATAAATATAACCTAGCTTGTGTACTCGTGAAAAAAGAAAGATATGGTAAATTTGTAGATTTTTTTGCAGGTTTTAGGTTTGCTGGTAGCTTTAAGGCATATATTTAGGAATTTCTTAATCGCTGTGAATATAGTGTGGATGTTTTTTCAATTCCTGAACAACGAAAAATATTCAACTTTATGAATGTATGGATATCAAAAATCCTGAATGGTTTTGTGGGATTATCAATCTAAGGTACCATAATGGTTCTGATGAATGGCAAGTAAATGAATGAATGTTTGGAAACGATCAATATCTTTTGGTAGAGCCTGTCATCAAGTAGGTGCTTAATGGCTATCTGCAAGGGGTTTATAGGAAAAAACACCCAGTATTACATATCAATTGACGAAAGTAATATAAACATGAATAAAAAATCAACAATAGTAATTAAAATATGAATTTAATTCAAAAATCAAACATTTCTTAAAATTTTGACTGATTTATATGTAATTTCTTAATATTCAATAAGCTGGTGATGTTTCAATGACAAGTTGTCATTACATACTTTGACAGTATTTTGTTTTCAACATTTCATAGCTATTGGTTGCTAAAATTCGTTGAATGGAACTTGAAGCTCATTCGCTGTCTCTGGCGGTCTGTTACCCTATAGGTGGATAATAACGGACTGTTGTTGGTGAAATTGGGCCTAAGACTCTTAAAGAAATTCTGCCATTCTGTGTGTAGAGTAAGCGGCAAGGTCTCATCCCACTTTTCGAGCGAATATCAATTTGAAACATATAAAAATCTTGTTTCGAGAGGCCTAGAATGCCTAAAGAATGAGTTCCTCCGTCTTTACCGATATTGCCTATTACTTCGCGTTCATTTTCTACAATATGTTTGATCAAAATCTTCGTCCATTTTTCTTGTCATGGCCTAACGACTAGCATTAGGATGGCTCGAGGAATTTTGCTTGTTACTGGTAGTTTGAAAAACTCGTACTCTGTGGCGTAGAGCATGAGGGTAGGTATTAAAGAACGTGAAATTAATGGGAAAAAATCAACGAGCGACTACTATTATCAAACATTTATTGACATTTGTTGTCGCACATTACCACTATTCTAACAGGTACTCAAAGCATAACAAATTAATCAACTAATTAAGATAACGTCGATGAACATGGTAGCTGGATGTAGTTTAAACAGAATCCTTTATTGTCCAAATCATTAGGGGCTTCGACGCCGTCGGTGTGGAACCATAGGTAGAACGGTTTGACGTTGGCTAGAAATAAAAGGTAGGTATTATTCGATAACTAACAATTTGACAAGCCTGGGTGGAATTTTAAAGGAAGATTCTTGATTTTATCGGGAGAAGGATCGTTGTGAAGCTGAGTGAAAACAACAACTAGGAGATAAAGGTATATTATCGTGTGTAATTTATCTACGTCCTGACAAAAAATGTAGGCTACGAATATGCTCTCTGGGCGTTAAGTTCCAGTTTTAAGCCCACGGGCTGCTTAATGCCTTGAGAGGTATAATAATCTTAGTGCTTGCTATTTACGAGGTACTCTATGGTGACCATAAAAACTGATCTTGCTTATTCGTTGCTAGGCGAGGACGCAATTTCTCGTAATTCAGTGGTATGCTCAATTATTTTTTATTTTCCATAACATTTTATCTCAGGCAAAGTAGGCATTTCTGTACCTTAGAGTGTCAAGAGCCTGCGCTTCCAGGCCAGTTACAAAGAGGTATTTAAAAAAGGTGCAAGTGTGGCCAAGTTGCCTAATAATGCCTATTCTGTGCAAATAACTAACAGGCTATTACTACTTTTCACTTATAACTGCTTATAATAATATAATAATAATTTCACCGCTTCAAAATTATCACTTCTAGTATACTAATTCTGGAAGCATTTTTGTCATATCGTTTCATTTGTTTTTCGACCCCATCAAGGGATGAAAATGTCATGAACCCCCTATGTTGTGTATTGTGTGAGAAAGCTATTAATATATAAGGGGCGCCCCGAAACTGAACTAGATGGTAAGATCTTGTATAGGTAAGAGTCTCATCGTTTTCGAGATTTTCGGCCTTCAACTTTTAAAAAAAAAACTGGCTTATATTCAGTTAATCACGTGTCATTGCTACAAATATCAACTTTTTTGAAGCACGCTTGTAAAGAGCGTTTCATCTCGTCCGTTATTAGTTTTCCTCAAGGTGGCAAAAACCCCACATAAAAGTCATGCCAAATCCAAATTCTTACTAAAACCCCTTCTTACGTCTGAATTTTATCAAGTACGATCACTATGCCAATTAGTGAAAAAAGTTGGGAATTTTTAATGGTATCTGTGCTATTCGTCTTCTGCGGCATTTTTCGTTTTATCGTAGCTATGACGGAGAAGTCCTCGTAGATATCTGAAAATAACAATGTATGGCTTGGACACAAAAACAAACAGGACTAATCGATAATCTACATTTAAGCGGTTGATGCAATGAGCAACATTGATTGTTATGCATGACCTACATCTAGACATAAAACATTTTTTTATATACAAAAATAACCGCTCGACTGTTGGAGGATGGCCCAATTTTGGAACTCAATCTTGGTATACAGTTCTCTAACCCCGATAAAAAGATTAATGGACTTATGTCTATAATTGAAGTGGTTTCGGTCAGACCGAGCGTGGTGTGCCGGAATATAACTGAATAATAGTATGTTGCGGCAGATCCTAATCATAATATTTATCCGAGCACATACTAGGATACTTCCTGGACTAGGCGTTCCATGCTCTTTTTAAGAATACTTTTAAACATCTTGAAGCGTAATGTCTTGTTTTTATTAGTTTTCTAGTTTTTGTACCTTGGCAGTTAATTGTTTCATTATGCCCATATACGAGTAAACGCTATGCGTGTACGCAGTTATGCATAATATCATTTACGGGGAATGCCAGTGTATCGCTAGGAAGGGTGCTCATTACATTATTATTAAATGTAAATTATCATTCAACTTCAATCCTGTCCATTTTTTGTATCCAATCCATGAATTGTTATTTTCTGGTATCTATGAAAACCGACCATCCTCCATTATAACTGCGATAAAACGAAAAAACAGCAGAAGGCGTATAACAATAATAGCATTAAAAATTGCCACTAGCTGGTCAACTTTTTCATTTAATTGATACCGTGATTGAACTTGATCCTCTCACTCTAAAGGGTGCCAAAGACAGATGTAGGAAGTGGTACTGATAGAAATTTAGACTTCATCATGACTTTTATGTGAGTTTTTCGCCATCCCAAAGAAAGATAATACTGGACAAGATGAAGTGACTAATTCCGAGTATTTTAAAACGAACCATGACAAAAAAAGTTTGCAGAAATGGTGCGGGTTTAATTGAATATAAGCCTAGAAGTAAAATTAAATGCAGAAAATCTCGAAAACTATAAGACCTTTACTGGAACACAATTTTACTATTTTACCATGTCATAGACCATAACGTGACCTATAGTTCCAGGGCTATCCTCTTATTCCGGGACACCATCTATATAAGCCATCAATACTGACCCACATGATGGGAGCCTCATTACAAGGATTTTCAATACATCTGCCAGTTCACAAAGTTGTGCCGGGGATAAGTGGCATTGGCATACTTTAGTACCTTAAAATAAAATCGTATGCTATACCTGTGTATTGATCTACTGAGCTGGCCTAACATAATACTGAGGGGAGCTTAACATTAACTCTGCTAGAAGGTAATTAAAACTTTATGAATAACACCTTCCACTAACCTGTGATATACAGGATGATTCACATGACGTGACCAAAAAAGAAGCATCATACACAGGACCGCATTTTAAGGGGGGTCTTATATTTAACATTTTTTCCTTGAGGGCTTCCATTAAAAAGATACGGCGTGTTGAAGTTTAAAAAAACTAATTTTAATATCTTCAAAACCATCAGCTGGAATGACCTAAGATTTGGTATGTTCGATTTACCTAAGTATTCTCCACATTCAAAAGTCTTTACTTAAAATTAACGTGCGCCAGTGGCGGAGATACAGGGGATTAGTGGTACTATTTTTCCAAATAAAAATAGTACGCCACTGTTTTTTTTCCTTCAATTTCCTACAAATCATTACTCTTGTGTTTCTTTCATAGATTGTATTGTTTTCGTAAAAATAAAGAAAAACGAATTAGATAATCAAGGCTTTATTCCAGTCAATATTCAAAAACCCTATTCTAACGGATACAAGTGCGGCATCCTTTTAATAAAGAAAAACGTATTTCCGCATAATTTGTTGTCGCTTGAATTTGATGAAGCGCAATATCTGTTATTTCTTATAACTGATCAACGGTATTAATTTATTCAGCCTACACTACCTACACTAGTTGTTTAAAAGCGCCCCACAAAACAATCCAGGGGGCTCAAATCAAGAGACCTCTCAGGCCAATGTAAGGGTGCGTTTCTGCCAATTCATCGTCCAAAATAATTACTTAGCCATGCGGTAATGTCACGACGAACATGCGGTGGGACACCGTCGTGCTGATACCACATTCGTACTCTTGTTACTAACGGAACATCATTTGCTTTCTGAAAAAGTTAAGTATCAGATTTTATTTATTTGGTTTTGTGGTCAGATGAATCGCTTTTTACGAGAGGTGGAACTTTTAATTATCATAATGAACATCGTTGATCGTTAGAAAATCCCCGTTCTGCAAGAATCCACTCGTTTCAACACAGGTTTTCTGGAAATGTCTGGTGCGGCATTTTCAATGCCCAACTGTTAATGCACGTATTGCCACAACGTTTAAATGCAAACTGATGCTTAACTTTTTCAGAAAATTACATAGCAAATGATGGTGTTCCGTTAGCAACGAGAGTACGAATCTGGTATCAGCACCACGGTGCCCCACCGCATGTTCATCGTGACATAACCGCATGGTTAAACAATTATTTTAGACGATGGATTGGCAGAAACGGACCCGTACATTGGCCTCCGAGGTCTCCTGAACTGAGCCCCCTGGATTTTTTTTGTGGGGCGCTTTTAAACAACTAACGTAGGTAGTGTAGGCTGAACAAATTAATACCGTTGATCAGAAATAATAGATATTGCGCTTCATCAAATTCAAGCCACAACAAATTTTGCGGAAATACGTTTTTCTTTATTAAAAGGATGCCGCACTTGTATATTTTTTAATATTTATTTAAATAAAGTTTTGATTATCTAATTCGTTTTCATTTACTTTTACGAAAACAATGCACTCTATGAAAGAAATACAAGAGTAATGATTTGTAGGAAATCGCAGGTGAAATTCGAAAAATTGCGCATTTGAAAGAAAAACAATGGCGTACTATTTTTATTTGGAAACATTAATGCCACTAATCCTCTGTATCTCCGCCACTGCTGCACGTTAATTTTAAGTAAAGACTTTTGAATGTGGACAATACTTAGGTAAATAGAACATACCGAATCTTAGTTTATTCCAGTTGATGGTTTTGAAGATATTAAAATTTGTTTTTTTAAAATTCAACACGCCGTATCATTTTAATGGAAGCCCTCAAGGAAAAAATATTAAATATAAGACTCCCCTTAAAATGCGGTCCTGTGGATGATGTTTCTTTTTTTGTCACGACTTGTGAATCATCCTATATATCACAGGCTAGTGGAAGGTTTTATTCATAAAGTTTTAATTACCTACTAGCAGAGTTAATGTTAAGCTCACCTCAATATTATGTTAGGCCAGCTCAGTAGATCAATACACAGGTATAGCATATGATTTTATTTTAAGGTACTAAAATATGCCAGCGCCACTTATCCCTGGCACAACTTTGTGAACTGGCAGATGTATTGAAAATCCTTGTAATGAAGCTCCAATCATGTGGGTCAGTATTGATGGGTTATATACAGGGTGTGGGGATAATCCTAGAACTATGGCCTACTACATGGTAAAATGGTAAAATTGTGTTCCAGTAAAGGTCTTATAGTTTTCGAGATTTTCTGCGTTTAATTTTATTTCTAAAAAGCTGGCTTATATTCAATTAAACCCGCACCATTTCTACAAACTTTCTTGTCATGGTTCGTTTTAAAACACTCGGAATTAGTCACTTCACCTTGTCCAGTATCATTTTTCCACAAAAAAGTTATGATAGAGTCTAAATTTCTATCAATACCCCTTCCTAAATCTGTCTTTGGCACCCTTTAGAGTGAGAGGATCAAGTTCAGTCACCGTATCAATTAAAGGAAGAAGTTGACCAGCTTTTGGCAATTTTTAATGCTATTATTGTTA